TACTTTGGAAATTTATATTCATTAAATAAAAGTTTAAAAAATATATATATTTAATTATATTAAATATTTAAAGACAATTTAATATGTTAAAAGCATATATTTTTCTTATAGTAAAAAAGACAAAGCTAACAATATATAATTATTTGTAAATATTACTTTCCATTAATATTCACTTTTCAAATTTTTCCCATATAACTATTCCAATGATGAATGTGAATAGTGAGAAATTATTGAATGTTATAAAGTGAGATTGATTTATTCAAACACTAATTTTTAGCAGCTCTCCAAATGTATACCTTCTTCCCCCTCTTAATTGCCTAAGAAAATCCACCATGAGAGGTTTTTAGACTAAGTAGTATGCACTTTGTATTGCTAAAAGGAAGAAATAATGAACTGAAGACAAAAACTGCATTGTGAGGAAAGACAAGTTCTTTTTGAGTGTAATGTGCATGAAATCGTATGCCTTGGACAAAGACGGCTGGACAGCAGGATACAGAGTTGGGCCTCTGGGCTCAGGAGCACTCTAAGTGGGCGGGCCCTTGCTTTACGTTTTCTCCCCAGCACAAGCCATCCCTGTAACCAGGCTAAATGAAGGCAGTGCACATTGCATTTCAATTCCCAATCAGGTCAGAAGGGATGAGAAGAATTGGAAGATGAAGAACTGTGGTGTTAGTGACAGGTGAGGTTTAACCTCTTGAATACGTGGGTCATCTCCTGGGGAGAAAACACCCACTAAGGAGGAAATTGAAACCTCAAAGAAAACACACAGGCTATAAAAGTCACAGTGGAACTAAGGTGTGACAGGAACAGAGGAAAGTATTGATTCGTCTGTCCCAAGCTTTGTCAGAAACGGATGATCTATGAACCCAAACAGGAAAACACGGGGGTAAGAAGTTAGTACTTAGAGAAGATTAAACATGACTCTAGGAATTCTGGAAAAATTAGCATAAGACACTAAAGGAGGCAGTCTCGTTAAATCATGTGAAGTCACTAATTTTTCTTATCTTCTCACCTTAAAAAGAAAGTCCTACATTTGATCCATTTAGCTGTTCCTTCTAGAATTGTCATCGTTCAATTATGTCCCTATACACAGACTCCTAAAGTCCTGTGCAAAAATTATTGCAAGTTTTCTTAAATATTTCTCTTATGCGATACAATGAACTTCGTTGAATTTTATCTCTATTACCTATATTTCATTATGATTTAAATTTTGTTACTAATTTTTTTAATTTTCTCATGGAAAAAAAATCTCTTCTTAAAATCAATAATACCAGGGCCGGTGCTGTGGCACAGCGGATTAATACCCTGGCCTGCAGTGCCGGCATCCCATATGGGCGCCAGTTCAAGACCCCACTGCTCCACTTCCGATCTAGCTCTCTGCTATGGCCTGGGAAAGCAGCAGAAGATGGCCCAAGTCCTTAGGCCCCTGCACCTGCGTGGGAGACCAGGAAAGGCTCCTGGCTCCTGGCTTCGGATCGGCATAGCTCCGGCCCTTGGGGCCATCTGGGGAGTGAACCAGAGGATGGAAGACCTCTCTCTCTCTCTCTGCCTCTCCTCTCTCTGTGTAACTCTTTCAAATAAATAAATAAATCTTTAAATAAATCAATATTACCATAGGAATGTACACATAGTGTATAAAAAGAAAATATCAATAATATTTCTTCCAAAAATCTAAATTAAGAAATAAACACTGTCACGTGTTACTTAGAGACTGAGGTAAGTTCTGAGAAATGTGTGGCAAGGTGATGTTGTCCTTTAGGGAACATCACAGTGTGTTACTTTACAAACCTACAAGGCACAGCCAGCCTACTACAGGCATAGCCTATTGCTCATAGGGTAAAAATCTTAGAGCCTGCTGTTGTGCTGAGAGCCAAAGGCAACTGCAACACAATGGTATTTGTGAATCTAAACACAGAGAAGGCACAGTAAAAATTCTAGGCAATACAAAATTGTCAGTTCCACTATAATCTAATGTGACCACCATCACTTACACAGTCTGCTGTTTATCAGAAAGTTGTTATACATCACAGTTACACCCCATAGTTTGGGATCTGAAGTCCAAGATGAAAATGGATATTGTACTGTATAACAAACAGGACCTACCATAATTTACTTGTTTAGTGGCTTAATGAGAAAATTTTCAAATATTACTTTCAAATCCTGAATCTGAAGATTGTCCTATACCAATGTAATAATGATGTTTTCTCAAGAATTGTAAAGATACAGGCTTTTCTCTAGTATTGATAGTTAAAAACCTCATTTTAAATTGCAGGTAGTACTTTCAGAGTACAACATAATTTGTGCTATAAAGCTCCATGAATTTCTTGGGAAAACTAAAGTTGGCAATGGTTCAATTGTTTTCTACAAAGGAACAAAACTTGCTTAAAAATCATTCTTAAAGGACCCTCCCACCCCTAAAAAATGTGGACCATTGAAGATTTGCTTTCACACATGCAATTTCTGTACTGATAAAAATTCTAAATGTTACATATTGAACAAAATCAAGTAACATAAAAATATGAAGGGAAATGTCTATGGGGTGATATATAGCTGCAGCTTAACAACAGGTGTAGGAAGAGATTCAAATCTTGGCTCTGCCAGTTTCCAGCTATCATATATTTTCCATGAAGCATTTACTTTGACCTATCAAGCTTCCATTTCTACTTCAGTAAAAATGATACTTACATCAAAGGATCATGTGAGAATTAAATGACAAAATAATGTATGTAAACTTTTAATCCATGCAGCAAATGTCAAAAAATGACAGATACTTTAGTCTTACCATCGTTGGAATAACTGTATTTTATGTTTGAGGTAAATAGCTGAGTGTTGCTCTAAATCATGACCTGTGAATACATCGGGGAAGGACTAAAAGGTGAAATCCAGAGTTTACCCAAGCCAAAGAACCCAATCTTTTTGCTAAGTGATCAGATCTTTTTCTATACCCATGCTCCCTGCTCCCTGGTTGTCTTTCTACAAGATCAATCCACCTGTCCAATGAGTCACTATTGCTTGTGGTTTATACTTTCCTTGAGATTACTTGCTTTTAAAATATTATATTTGCTAAATATATTCCAATTCTGTATACACTTTTAGTTGAAACATGCCAAAAATGATTTAAGCAAACATGATCATACTATATGAAACAAATCAAGCCAGGATATACAGTGGCAAGAAGATACACTTGAGTTTATAATTCTTATTTAATGAAATAGTCAGATTAAGTATTTTCATATAATACAGACAAACTGCTAAGGCAGTCAGCAAACTTTCAGGATTACCAGACACCTCTAAATATAGGATATTAAGGAACAAAATTGCGCATCTCTGAAAATGTATGAGAGAAAGGAAATCTGTGGTAAGCCATAATCCTTTTATGCAAAAGTATATAAGCAAGTTCTTATTTCTATCGAAGTGATTTAAGTAGTTGATATTTCAGAAGGAGTTTGGCAGGGGATTCTGGAGCAGCTATCCTCAAAGAAATTCTGAAGAAATACAGGAAATTGAAGAGACAGCTGTGAAGTTCTTAAATTTTTAAAAAACATAAAATCTACAATCCGATATTTCACTTCGGCTTTCGTGTTTCAATAGGGGAAAATATAAATTGTGAGTTATAGATTTCCTAAAATTGTCTTTAAAAAACAAAACCAACCTTATTTTATATTCTTAAAGAATTTTTTTAGAACAAGATTCTACATATTTCACAATGATCTTATTTATGCAACCCAGGTATAATCATCTCAGTTACAAGATGGTCAATAAATTTGATTTATTTTAAATATCACTAAACACTAAATGATGGTAGCAGCTTTGTATTTCCACAGAAAGGCTTACAGAGTTAATAACAGGGTAAGAACCATAACCACTGAGATTTCAATAAGATCTATACCCTTATGCTTTCTCATAACAAAGACAATCAGCTTATAAAACTTCCCTACATAAACTTTCTCTAAGATTAATCACAGTATAAATAAAGCAAAAAATGGATATGCCTCCTGGTTGCTTTCATTGTTATTCTTATTACATTTCAGTTCATTTCTTGCTGGCCAGATTCGTTTCTGGCCCTGAAGAGTACACAGTCCTAGCTCATGAGCACAGTGCCATTTCTTTCAACAGGCAAGAAGGAGACATGCCTACAATGGCACCTTGGCACAGTACACTTGCTGTTCCCGAGACACCTTGCTGCTTCTGAGACATCAAAGGAAGTCAGAACCTGGGACTTGTTTATGATCCCAGGTGTTTCCTATCTTTGGGATGAGCTGAATATCTAATACAAAAACACAGGACTTGCTGAGTGATTTTCAATAACAAATCCTCTGAATAATTGATAGATAAAATTTTTGGGGGGAGGATAGTGATTCTCCCTTTGGATAGAAATAAACCAGAAAATATTCTATTTTATATTATTTGATTCATTATTCCTGCAGGAAAAACATGCTGTTGGCATATCCCATATCTGACATCAAAGTTGCAAAGACACACTTCTTCAGGCTTTAAAAAAATTGCAATTCACGTTGTACTTTTAGTTCAAGTAAACCTTGACTTCTATTCCCTCCAGATGAATGCATTTCTAATCTACAAAATGTTGACAGTACATGAAGCTTAGACATAACTGCTCCTATCAAATTCAAAATGTATCCGTTTCTATGCAGTTATATACACAAGAGTATTTCATTCCACATTGGCTTGTACCTGGAGGGATGGCTGCAGGATTCGCAAACCACTGCCTCAACCTTTTCCTGAATATTTCACATTCTTGCATTAAGGAAAGAGTGTTAGAAGAGGTATTGAAATATAGCCTGAAAATTCTATGTTGCACGTCCATGGAGATGATATTTCACTCTTTTAGTGGATGGGAAGATCTATGACTCTCAAAACTTAAAATGAACCCATTTTTTCCCTCCATTTAACTTTTGTGTTTACTTCTATGTCTTCACAAAGAATATTTTCGCAGTGCATGCAAAATAAAGCTTAAAAGAAAAGTACAGGGATATACGTACTGTAAGGGACACATTCATACTGCACTTCAAGGTATTTATAGGTTCCTGGGCACGGGTCTGGGAAAACATCAGGACCTGCGACCACTGCACACTGGGTTCTGTTATTGCATCTGGAGTCAGAAGAAAAGACGATAAGAAATAGTAAGTTAACATACAGTTAAGTCATTACCAACATCAATACTACCTTGATTTCAGTTGCTATTACATACATTTAAAAGAGGTTCTGCATGGTATAGAACTTCAGGCTTCTTAAAGAAACACCTACAATATCCTTAAAAAATATATAAAAATCCATCCATTCAGTGTGCTCATCTTACCGAATTTAATAATTTGGTTGAATACAGCATGATTCTTTATTAAAAGTGGACTACTGCCAAGCAGCACAAACTGGTGTATAGGATATAGCCAACGTGAAGACAGATAAGGAGGATTATTTAATAGGAAAGACCCACTCCCATGATAAAAAAAGTATACTAAGGAAGTATAAACTACAGAATTTCATTAAACAGCTACCAAATAATTCACTGATTACGAGGATATTCATTTTAAAAGCAGCTGGAAAGTAGCAGTTGAGGGCAAGTGTTGTGGCATGGTAGGTTAAGCCACCGCCTACAATGCCAAGATCCCATATTGGCACAGTTCCTATCCCGACTGCTCTACCTTCAATCTAGCTCCCTTCAAATGGCCTGGAATAAGCAGCAGAGGGTGGCCCAAGTATCTGGACCCCTGCTACCTATGTGAGAGACCCTGATGAAAACTCTCAGCTCCTGCTTGGCCCAGCCCTGGCCATTGTGGCCATCTGCGGAGTGAACCAGTGGATAGATCTCTCTCTGTGTCTTCCCTCTCTCTTTTTAACTCTGACTTTCAAATAAATACACAAATCTTTCAAAAATAGTAGTTTAAAAGCTTTTTTGAAGCCTTAAAAATCAGTAAAAGTAAATATTTAAATTTTAAAATACATATTTATGTTCTAGAGGCATAACTACATAAACGAAATTGTTTTTAAGAACAGATTTTCACATTACTGCATTCAGCCCAATAGTAATCTCACAGATAATTCATCACAAATGTCAGTATCCTGTAATTTAGAAAATGACTTTAAATTTCTAAAGAGAATAACCAAATACCACTATTGAAACAGAAATACAAACTTGGTCACTTTTGTGGCAATTGGGCTAAATAGATTTGGATCAATTTATTCATAGAGAAAGTGCACAAAATGAAATTAATTCTTGCTCTTAGAATGACATTCAAGTACACAGTAGCCTTTTTACTGTAAACTTGACTCAGAAACATTCTAGATTGAATAATTTATCCATAAGGACATTTTTTTGGTACAAGATAATGGTTTCATTCTACCCATGATATAGGTACTAAGTGTACTGGATGACACTCTATTCCCTTTTTATACTCTTGTGTATTCATTTCAGTAATATAATTTCAGGGCTAGAATCTTCTATCACTTTCTTAAAGAGACACTTTGTTCTCTGATGAGATCTGAACCTCAGAACACTTGTTAGCAAACTGACAGCACAAGGAGCACTTAGCACAGAACTCATTTTGATTTGGAGTAAAAATGTCGTGTGTTCACCTGAGGCTACTATTTGTCAGCCTTACTGAGGATTTCATTTGGCCCCTAAACGAAAAATGATCAGTGTCTATGTTAAAAAGACACTGTGTTATCAGTGAAGATTAATAAAAGCTGATACTCCATACTTATCAGGCGGTTTAGTATACTAAAACTCTACGTAGATGTAGCATATGACAATCACACAAGAGCTCTCATGTAACTAGAGATGTCCTCACCCAGCTACTATAAATAGGTAGCTTGATACTTCAGCTACTCACACTTTTCTAAAAAAGCAGTATTTCTATATTACAATAAAGTCCACTTGAAGATGATGTCCAAGGTTAAAGGACATGCTTTTAGCAGTTTTTTCATATTATATCTTAAAAAAACAAATTTATAAATCTATCTTGTGCTATTAGAACTACAAGCAGCAATATAAACTCATAAAAGTTGTTTCCACATTTGTTATAAAAAATTAGAAATTGTCAGGAACAAGAACATACTCCAAGTAGAGAAAATGAAAAATGCAAGTATATTCTGTAAAATTAAATTTCTAATCTCCAGTTATCAAACTGTACATATATATATATACTACTGAAAATTCTTTCTCATATATATATATATGTGGATGTAGTCTATATATTCTGATATCTATCTTTACATCTATATATCTTCTATGTAGATTTAATAATATCTTTTATATACCATATATATGTAATATATACCATATAAATAAATATCAGTCTATATAGAGATATATATCAGAGGGAAAATATTTTTCCCTATTGCTTTTATATCTCTATATATTCTATTTGCTATATACATAAACATATACATACCATCTATATAAATTTTCTATACATATTCTCTCTGAAACATACACATCTATCATCTATTTATCTATCGATTTCTGTTGATCCACACTTGTTTTTTTTTCAGATTTTATTTATTTATTTTAAAATCAGAGTTACACAGAGAGAGAAGAGACGCAGAAAGAGAGGTCTTCCATCCGCTAGTTCACTCCCCAGATGGCCGCAATGGCCGGAGCTGCGCCAATCCAAAGCCAGGAGCCAGCAGCTTCTTCTGGGTCTCCCACGTGGGTGCAGGGGCCCAAGGACTTGGGCCATCTTATACTGCTTTCCCAGGCCATAGCAGAGAGCTGGATCAGAAGTGGAACAGCCAGGTCTCGAACCGGCGCCCATATGGGATGTCGGCACTTCAGGCCAGTGCGTTAACCAGCTGCGCCACAGAGCTGGCCCCAATCCACACTTATTTTATTTCCTATTAGCAACCTTTTTAAAATTACTGTAGCACTAATAAAATACATCTAGATGCTATGTCTGGTCTTATACTTTTAAGACACAGATTGATAATTTCCAATCTTTTTTTTGAAAGCCTCCAATAATTAAAAAAACATATATTTGTTTGATACGGAGACAGAGCTAAAGAGAGAAATCTGTCTTCAGGTGGTTCACTCCACAGTGCCCAAAAGCTGGGAACTGAACCCTGGTCTCATATGTGGGTGACAGGGAATCGATCTCTTGAGCCGTCACCTATTGCCTGAGAGGATGTGCGTTAGGAGGAAGCTGGAACAATAGATGGAGCCTGAACTCAAGCCCAAGCACCCCTATATGGGATGTGGGTATCCTAACTGCCACCCTTACTGTTGTGCCATACACATTCCCACCAAACTTTTATTTAGATAATCAATTTTATAGCAGTAGTTATTAGGCAAAAATGGTTATTTTTTAAAAATATGGAAGTATGGCCGGCGCCGCGGCTCACTAGGCTAATCCTCCGCCTTGCGGCACCGGCACGCTGGGTTCTAGTCCCAGTAGGGGCGCCGGATTCTGTCCCAGTTGCCCCTCTTCCAGGCCAGCTCTCTGCTGTGGCCAGGGAGTGCAGTGGAGGATGGCCCAAGTGCTTGGGCCCTGCACCCCATGGGAGACCAGGAGAAGTATCTGGCTCCTGCCATCAGATCAGCGCGGTGCGCTGGTCGCAGCGGCCATTGGAGGGTGAACCAACGGCAAAAAGGAAGACCTTTCTCTCTGTCTCTCTCTCTCACTGTCCACTCTGCCTGTCCAAAAAATAAATAAATAAATAAATAAATGGAAGTACTTGTTACACAGGAAATTATCTGTAATCTAAAAGGATTCAACTGGTTATAAGATTTGATTGATCTATTTTCAACTAACCTTATACATATACAGTTTATACTAAGTAAAGAGTTTAACAATTAGTATGACAAAAAAAAAAAAAAAAAAAACCTTCCTCAACAGTCAAGACAAGGGCTTTTCAAAGTCATCGCATCTTAAAGTGTCCATTTCACTTCTACAGATTATCTTTTAGGCGATGTATTTGTTACCACAGATCAGGGAGAACATATGGTATTTGTCCTGTGGGGACTGGCTTATTTCACTAAGTACGATGTTTTCCACTTTCATCCATTTCCTTGCAAATGACAGGATTTCATTTTTTTACTGCTGTGTAGTATTCCATGATATACATATCACATAATTTCTTTATCCAGTCTTCAGTTGATGGACATTTGGGTTGATTCCATATCTTAGCTTACAAGATTCATTTTCACAAGAATTTTCGAAGTTTACTCCCCATATAGTACTTTTATAGTTACTTCAAAGTTGTTAAAAGTAAATCCATTCGTGCAGTCTGTTGAAATCTTTACTTAGTATATACTAAGTTGATCTTCTGTATATAAAGATAATTGAAAATGAATATTGATAAAGAATAGGATGGGAGAGGGAGTGGGAGATGGGATGAATGCGGGTGGGAGGGAGGTTATGGGGGGAAAAGCTGCTATAATCCAAAAGTTGTACTTTGGAAATTTATATTTATTAAATCAAAGTTGAAAAAAAAGTCAATCCATTCTATAATTATATAGATGAAAGAAGAAAAAGAAAATAACCCAGTGTTCTCATGGGCTTTAAACTCAGAAGTTTCGTTGATTTCCTTTTTATAAATATAAATTAAAAAAGGTTTTCAGTATTCCTCATGTCTGATATTAAATTCATTTTTAAACCCACAACAAAGGATGAGAAAAGACTGCAATAATATGGTCATAATGCATCCTAATCCACTAATACAGAGAAAACCTTACCATCTTATAAAAGTATTAGGGGCATTATGTATAGTTTATTGAATTTTCAGTACTTTTCTGTGAGAAACATTACATGAAAACAATTTCCACACCAACATTAGACAATTTTCAAGTAACATATACGAAGTTGACACTGATAAATGCCAGATAGAATTCTCAAAGAAACGGATGACTTCAGTTTTCACATACATACTAGTTATTTTATTATTTTATTACTAGTTATTTTATTACCTTTTAATGTATTAGAAATACATTAAAAATATAAAGGAGAATGTATATGCAGAAGGCACACTTCTTTGATTTGGTGTTCCCACTATTAATGTTAGTCATTTGTTTCAGGATAGATCAAAGAGAGTTCATTACAGACAGACTCTATTTGAAAAAAAAAAGTACACAACACAGAAGTAGTGTCACATCAAAAA